AAAAAGCTACAATATTGAAGCAATTGTTTTAGTTATGATTGAGACCATCATTCTCAGAACCATACCTGTTGCTTGAGATCCATGTTTTCTTACTCCTGCTCCTCTGTCAGAGCTCTCCTCCTCTCCATTGCTTCTGCTCTGCAGACCATGCTCCTCCTAGCCTATCTCCATAGCCTGTTAGGTGGTCTTGCTCTGTCTCTCCTACTCATCTTTCATCACACCACCAGAGTTACTTTCTTTGAAACAGGTATGATGAAGCCATAAACTTCTAAAATAACTAAAAATTCCTAAATAGGAAAGCAGAGATACCTTGGGGTAGCCTTCTAGCAGCTTGGGATTTGGCCTCCTGTTGCCCAGTGTTGGTTCCCATCTCATATCTCCACATGTCATCTTCACCAGGCCATGGGACTACATACACTGTGTACCACTCTTCTGTATTCTTACTCATATTGCATCCTCACCTGCTACTCTCTTATCACACAAAGACTAAAATGCCTTCCCTTTCTCCCATTTGGCTAGAGTTTGTTATATTTCTTTACTATTGTTCTCTGTTTATCATAGCACTTGCTTCTTTCTTTACAGTATTGGATGAGCTAGTGGGAAAAGAGCAGGGCAAGGATGTGAGCAATCCAGATTCCAATTCCTGCATTCCCTTAACCTCACTGTGTCTCAGCTTCCCCATTTGTAAATCAGAGATTAGGCATTAATTTTCTTTATTTAAAATATTTTTAACTCCATAGTTCTGATTTGAATCAGTCTATCCTAGCAGATGTAGCTTCTTAAGGAAGTCACAATATCTTAGAAATCTTCACATCATCTTTAGTGACTATCGGTGCTTTTTACATAGAAAAACCTTAACAAATATATGTGGAGTGAAAAAATTTCATGAATGAATGAACAATTCCATATTTTCTTTATATAAAATACATCCAAATGTTTTACCGTTATTTTTGTAGTTTAAATTAAATATAACCTCCAATTCTGTATTTCTAGAGGCAATATAAGAAAAGGCAGCTATTAATAGAACAAGTCATAGAGATTCAAGCTTTTCAACATTTATCTTTTCAAGCACCATGCAAACATACAAGATGCAAATTCATACAGCGTGAAGAAACTAATTACGTACTTGGTTACTGGAAGAAACTAACTCATTGAAGCTAAAAAAGAAACAACATTAAGATAAACAGAGAAAAAGGTACCTAAAATAGCTGGTTGTACACTGATAAAAATGTTTTTAAAATTGGCACCTATTGAGCTCTTTTTTTTTTTGGCAGAGTCTCACTCTGTCACCCAGGCTGGAGTGCAGTGGCACAATCTCGGCTCATTGCAAGCTCCATCTCCCAGGTTCACGCCATTCTCCTGCCTCAGCCTCCAGAGTAGCTGGGACTACAGGCTCCTGCCACCACGCCCGGCTGATTTTGTTTTTTTGTATTTTTAGTAGAGACAGTGTTTCACCGTGTTAGCCAGGATGGTCTCGATCTCCTGACCTGGTGATCCGCCCGCCTCGACCTCCCAAAGTGCTGGGATTACTGGCATGAGCCACTGCACCTGGCCCTATTGAGCTCTTTCTATGTGCCAGACACTGAACCGAGTTTTTTCTATGCACTATTTTACTTTAATCCTTAAACTACTCTGTACAGTAGAACTAATTATCCTCCGTTGACACATAAGAACATCTACCCCCAGAGAAGGCACACAAATTGCTAAAGCTCACACAAAATATAAATAGCAGAGTCAAGATTTAAACAAGCCTGTCTAAATCTAAGCCCATTCTCCTAACCACGGCACACAATTGCCTCCCCAGAGATGATATAGCCTAGAAAATAACAGATTATTTTAAATATCTTAAAAAGACAAGTTAGAAAATTAAAAATAATTGTTTAAGTAGATCATTTTATTGAAAGAAAAATGACCCATTTATACTAAATCAAGGAAAAGGGATTTACAAGGCCTGAAACAGGAACTGAAATTATGTCAGAAACTAAAGCAACCCCAAGCATTGACTGTTTTCAACTTTTTCTTTCAAAAAACTACATGGTCTCTTCCTCTCTCTCTCCTGTTCATGTGACAGCCCTTCCTTTCCCCTCACATCTGCTTTATTTTTCCAGCCTGTCAACAGTTCCATGGCATCATTTCATTTCTTCCCTGAAAAATGTTACTTTTTCCTCCTAAGTTCTAGATCAAATTCCCGAGTAATTAGATTTGTCCAACTCATTCTGCTGCACAAGCACAGGGATCACACCGTGTGTCTCCAGCACTCTGCTGGGAAGAGGGTGCCCTCACCAAACATTAAGACCTGGCTTTCCAGGCATACGTCTTTTTTCTCCCTTACCCCTGAGGTTACCTGCTCTCAACCACTCTACAATTTCTTTTTTTTTTTTTTCCCACAACCAAGTTTCTACAAAGAGTAGTGTAATTTTTTTGTCTCACCTTCCATTTCTCCTTATCTAATCATTATACTTCCCGTTTGTTCTTTAATCTTTGATATCTGGATTATGCCCCCATTATGTCACAGAAAACGATATTGTTTATGTTGTCAAAAATTATCTACCAGCAAAATCCAGCTAGCAATGTTCAATCCTCATAGTGTTTGATTTCTTGGAGTCTCTAACATTGATGACCACTCCTTTATTGTTAATCTCTCACTGCCTGTTTCTGTGGACTTATTCTCTTCCAGTTAATGTCATTTGTCCCTAGTTGCTCCTTTACAGGATTTCCTTCCTTTGCCTGTCTTCAAATGTTGGTGATCCCCAGGTCTCAGTCACTGGCCCCATTTTCACTCTACTCACTCTCTATAGAGATTTTATCCTTGACAGTGACTTCACTCAGAAGGCTGTTATTTTTCAATATTCATCCCATCTCATGCAACTCCTCCTGAGTTCCAGCTGCATACTAGTAAAGCCCACTTGGATATTCTACAAACATCTGAAGCTATACCTTTATAAACCTAAACACATTATCTCATTCACACTAAACTTTCTCCAATTCCTCCTTGCATATTCCCCACCATAAAAACATCACCATCTTCCTCAATATGCCTAAGAAGGTTCTTCCCCTTCTTTATCCCTCAGTTTCAATCAATCATTACATTGGTTAAGATTTTGATTACAATTAATAGAAATGAACTTAAGCTAACTGAGTGGAAAAAAAATTTGTCATAAAGGTACAATAATTCTTGCATAATCCAAAGACAAAAATGTACGTGGGCCTTATGCATCAGAAACAGTTCAATGGAGTTTCTTCGTGTATGTATTAGTCAAGACTATCCAGATAAATAGAACCAGTAGGAGATAGATAGATAGATAGATAGATAGATAGATAGATAGATAGATATAGAGATAGATAGATAGATATAGAAGATGGATATATGATAGAAGATAGAGATTGATAAAATTAGATAGTAGAGAGAGAGAGAGAGAGATAAGAGGGTAGAAATTGGCTTACAAAATTATGAAGGCTAAGAAGTCCTAATATGGAGAACCAGAAAAGCCAGTGGTATAATTCAGTCCAAGTCCAAAGACCTAAGAACCAGGGAGCTGATGGTATAACTCCTAGTCCAAGGTAAAGGGTGTGAGAACTGGGGCTGGGGTAGTGGGTGCTTGTGTAAATCCTGGAATCCAAAGACAAGAACCAGGAGCTCTGATATCTGAGGGCAAGAGAAGATGGATGTCCTAACTCAAGAAGAGAGAGAGCAAATTAATCCTTCCTACTCCTTTTTGTTCTATTCAGGCCTTCAAGTGATTGCATGATGCCCACCTTCATTGGTAAGGGCAGATCTTTATCCAGTCTATTCATTCAAGTACTAATCTCTTCCAGAGACACCCTCAAAGACACACTCAGAAATATTTTACCAGCTACCTGGGCACCCTTTTGCCCAGTCAAGTTGACACAAAATTAGCCATAACAAATTCATCCCTTGTCAACTTGGCATCCATGGTCATACCCTTGTACCATATTTAATTTCTAAATAAAGACAATAACAAGGTCATAATTCCACCTAACATGATACAGTTATCTTATGTACAACCAAAAATGCACTAATCCCTTCCCCAGAAGAGGAGGTCAAATCCTTAAGTAATGTTTACTCTTCTCCTGATAGCTCATGACTAAAATAGTATGATATACAATTAGCAATATTTAAATACTATGATCTAAAGTCAATACCTCTTATGTTACATACTTTAAAAAAAAGAGGAAAGAAAACAGATATTTGTCTTCATACACACACACGTGCACACACATACACACACACACACACACAAATACACAAAGGTATTCATAATAAAATGAAGAAAAATTACTCATGAGAAAAAATACTCATGACAGTCACAGGAATTGCAGTCCTCAGTTCTGTAACTAGTCACATGGTCATAGCTGGCGTTTCTAACTACCCTTTTCCATTACCTATTCTACATTCCTTTTGCCTTCAGCAAGAAGTTCTTTACCTGAAGGAGTGACCTAAATGTTCATTGCTAAAGGGTTTGGGTCATTCTGTAGTCTTGCCTCCACTGACTTGTAGTTTTGACCTTAATCATAAGACATTATAATACTAAGAGATGCCCTGAGGGCCTTTATGTGTTCCAGATATACTCTTTTTTACCTCCATTGTGTGTTTTTAAAATTATTTTTATTTATTTATTTTTTTATTTTTTGAGACAGTCTTGCTTTGTCACCCAGGCTAGAGTACAGTGGCATGATCTAGGCTCACTGCAAGCTCCGCCTCCCGAGTTCACGCCATTCTCCTGCCTCAGCCTCCCGAGTAGCTGGGACTACCAGTGCCTGCCACCATGCCTGGCTAATTTTTTGTATTTTTAGTAGAGACAGCGTTTCACCGTGTTAGCCAGGATGGTCTCAATCTCCTGACCTTATGATCTGTCCGCCTCGGCCTCTCAAAGTGCTGGGATTACAGGCTTGAGCCACCGCGCCCGGCTCTTCTACTTCTATTCTATACTTCTACTTCTATTGTGAAGTAGTAATTCATTTTTTTCTTCATAATCCAGATCAACCACCTCACCCAACACTGTAACTCGCTTCCTGGCCTATTGACTCAGAGGCATGAGAAAACCAAAGTGACCAGGTGGGAGTTGTAAGTTCTGGTTTAATGGAATCATAATTGTGTCTCTCTGTGGGAGCATTTTCCCCTCTGGAACTAAGACTTTTAGGCTTTAATTTTGCTATGGGACTACTAGGGGTAATGGTGAGTGACATGATTTCCATTTCCACCCTTTGATTCTTGGGCCCATGAAACCTGATTCACAGCATATGCAGCTTTCTGGAGAACCTTGCTCCAACTCTGCAAGATATTGCCACCTAGTTGGCACTGTAACTGAGTCTTCAAACAGTCATTCAAGATGGTGGGGAACATGGTAAGACCAGTGAATTCTATGAACATGGGCCCATTGCCACATTTTATTGTCTGTGAAGTGAGTTTTTTTTTATCAGAAACCATGCTGTGTGGATACCATGACCTGGACAAGGCATTCTGCTAATCCATGAACACTGTTTTTGGCAGAAGTTTCATGCGGGGAAGGCAAATCCATATCCAGAGTACATGTCTCTTCCAGTAAGAAAAAAATGCTGTCCCCTCCATGAAGAAGCAGTCCAATGTAATCAACCTGCTACCAGGTAATTAGCTGATCATCCAAGGGGAATAGTACTGTATCAAGGGTTCAGTGTTGGTCTCTGCTGCTGGCATATTGGGCATTCAGTTGTGGCTGTAGCCAAATCAGCCTTAGTGAGTGGAAGTCCATGTTGCTGAGTCCATGCACAGCCTCCATCCCTGCCACCACAGCCACTTTGTTTCCAACCCATTGGGTGATCACAAAGGTGGCTGAAGAAAGAGATTGACTGGTATCTACAGAAAAGGTCATCCTATCCACCTGATTATTAAATTCCTCCTCTGTGGATGTCACCCTTTGATGAGCAATCACAAAGGACAGAAATGATTCATTGCCCATTTAGAGAGGTCTATCCACATACCCTTCCCCCAGTTTCTTTGTCACCAATTTTCCAACCACATTTCTTTCAAGTCCCTGACTATCCAGCCAAACCATGGGCTACTTTCCACGAATACATATATAATCTCACATCTGGCCATTTCTACACCCAACCAAAGTGAATAACCAGGTGGAAGAATTTTTCTTCACCACTGTTCTCCAGGGCAATGTCCCAGAGAGGGGTATGCAGCTGTCCACTTTCAGGCAGTGCCTGCATATCATGCAGAACCATTTGTAAATAAGGACCTACTCTTTGCTTTCCCAGTCAACTAAAACACCCTCACAGAGACACACAGAGATAATGTCTTACTAGGCCATCTGGGACTCCCTTAGCCCAGTCAAGCTGACACATCAAGTTAACTATCACACCATATTTTATTTCTGCTCTTCTCTGCATATCACTTTTATCTTTATGTCCTACCCAGACTGGCTTTAACTGCATCTCGCTCAATTTACAGGGAGAAGATGGGCTTCCCCATAGCCCCCAAATGTTTATCTTCTCCAGCCGAGAGACCATCTCAGAATAGTCAGAATAGTTAATCCTGGAAAAATCACCTCTAACTAAGAGTAGGCTCACATGGTGAAAATGAGACTGCTGAGTTCCAGCTTTATAGATAAGCAAGTCCAATAAGGAAATCATTACAAGCTTAACAGAAATCCCAATACTTTCTGTCATTTCTATCATAATCATTAAATTCCGATAATTCTATGTCACACATTCTTTTTTTATTTCCAACTGTATTAGGCTGTTTTCACATTGCTATAAAGAAATATCTGAGACTGGGTAATTTATAAAGGAAAGAGGTTTAACTGTCTCACAGTTCTGCTGGCTGTACAGGAAGCATAATGCTGGCATCTGCTCGGCTTCTAGGAAGGCCTCAGGAAACTTACAATCATGGTGAAGGAGAAACAGGCACATCACATGGCTAGAGCAACAAGCAAGAAGTAGGGGAGGTGCCCCACACTTTCAAACGACCAGACATCTCAAGATCTCATTCACTATCACAAAAATAGCTCCAAGAGGATGGTGCTAAACAATTCATGAGAAATCCCCCTCCATGATCCAATCACCTCCCACGAGGCCTCACCTCCATGAGATTTGGTGGGAACACAGATCCAAACCATACCACCAACTTTTAATTTAGATTCATGGAGTACATGTGTAGGTTTGTTACATGGATAAATTGCCTGTCACAGGGGTTTGCTGTACAGATAATTTTGTCATCCAGGTAGTCAACATAATACCCAATAGATAGTTTTTTCATCCTCACCTTCCTCTTGCCCCACACCCTCAAGTAGGCCCCAGTGTGTATTACTCTCTTCTTTGTGTCCATTGTACTCAATGTTTAATTTCACTTGTAAGTGAGAGCATATAGTACTTGATTTTCTGTTCCTGTATTAGTTAGCTAAGGATAATGACCTCCAGCTGCATCCATGTTGCTGCAAAGAATATGATCTTGTTCTTTTTTATGGTTGTCTAGTATTCTCTGGATGTGTGGCTGGACTAGTTTATCTTTTCACCAACAGTGTATAAGTGTTCCTTTTTCTCCACAACCTTGCCACCACCTTTTCTTTTCTTTTTTTTCTTTTGACTTTTTAATAGTACCCATTCTGACTGGAGTGAGATGATATCTCATTGTGGTTTTGAATTGCACTTCCCTAATGATATTGAGCAATTTTTCATATACTTTTTGGCTGTGTGTATGTGTTCTTTTGAGAAGTGTCTGTTTGTATCCTTTGACCATTTTTTAAATGGGGTTCTTTGATTTGTCCAAGTTCCTCGTATATTCTGGATATTAAGCCTTTGTCATATGCATAGTTTGCAAATACTTTCTCCTGTTCTGTAGATTATCTGTTAACACTGTTGATCATTTCTTTCCCTATACAGAAACTCTTTCATTTAATTAGGTCCAAATTGTCAAATGGTTTTTTTACAATTGCTTTTGGACTCTTCCTCAGGAATTCTTTGCCAGGGCCAATGTCCAGAATGGTATATCCTAGGTTTTCTTCCAGAATTTTTTAAATTTTAGGTTGTACATTTAAGTCTTCAATTCATGTTGAGTTGATTTTTGTAGATGGTGAAAGGTAAGGGTCCAGTTCTATTCTTCCGCATATGGCTGGCCAGTTATCCCAGCACCATTTATTGAATAGGGAGTCACTTCCCTATTGCTTGTTTTTGTTGGTTTTGTCAAAAATCAGATGGTTGTAGGTGTACAGCTTTATTTCTAGGTTAACTTATGCATTTCATTGGTCTGTATCTCTGTTTTTGTACCAATATTATGTTGTTTTAGTTACTGTAGCCATGTAGCATAGTTTGAAGTTGAGTAACGTGATATCTCCAGCTTTGTTCTTTTGGCTTAGAGTTGTCTTGACTATTTGGTCTCTTTTTCGGTTTTAAATAAATTTTAGAATAATTTTTTCCTAATTCTATGAAAAATGTTATTGGTAATTTGTTAGGAATAGCATTGAATCTATAACACGCTTTGGGAAGTATGGCCATTTTAGCAATATTGATTCTTCCTATCCATGATCCTGGAATGTGTTTTCATTTGTTTGTGTTTTTCTGATTTCTTTCAGCAGTATTTTGTAATTCTCATTATAGAGATCTTTCACTTCCCTGGTAAGTTGCATTCCTAGGTATTTTATTCTTTTTTTTTTTTTTTTTGGCTACTATGAATGAGATTGCATTCTTGATTTAGCTCTCAGCTTGAACATTGTTGGTGTTTAGAAATGCTACTGATTTTTATACATTGATTTTGTATCCCAAAACTTTGCTGAAGTTGTTTATCAGATTTAGAAGCTTTTAGGCAGAGACTATGGGGCTTTTCAGATACAGAATCATATTACATGTAAACAGAGATAGTTTGATATCTTTCTTCCAATTTGGATACATTTTATGTCTTTCTCTTGCCCAATTGCTCAGAGTAGGATTTCCAGTACTAAGTTGAACAGGAGTGGTGAGAGTGAGCCTCCTCGTCTTGTTCCGTTTCCCAAGGGGAATTGATATGGTTTGGCTCTGTGTTCTCACTTAAATCCCAACTCGAATTGTAATCCCCATAATCTATGTGTCAAGGGCAGGACCAGGTGGCGGTAATTGGATCATGGGGGCAGTCTCCCACATGCTGTTCTCATGATAGTGAGTGAATTCTCATAAGATCTGATGGTTTTATAAGCATCTGGCATTTCCCCTGCTTGCTCTCACTCCATCCTGCTGCCCTATAAATAAAGTACCTGCTTCTCCTTTGCCTTCTGCTATGATTGTAAGTTTCCTGAGGCCTCCCCAGCCATGTGGAACTGTGAGTCAATTAAACTTCTTTCCTTTATAAATTACCCAGTCTTGGACATTTATTCATTGCAGTGTGAAAAAGGACTAAAACAGGAATGCTTTCAGTTTTTGCCAATTCAGTATGATGTTGGCTGTGGGTTTATCATAGATGGCTCATGTTATTTTGAGGTATGTACCTTTGATGCCTCATTTGATTATTTTAAACATGAAGGGATATTGAATTTTGTTGAAAGTCTTTCCTGTGTCTATTGAGATGAGCTTGAGGTTTTTATTTTCAATTCTGTTTATATGGTAAATCACATTTGTTGATTCACATATGTTGAACCAATCTTGCATCCCAGGAATAAAGCCTGCTTGATCATGGTGCATTAGCTTTTTGATGTGCTGCAGGATTCAGTTTGCTAGTCAAGAATTTTTGCATCTGTGATTTTCAGCGATATTGGCTTGAAATTATGTTGTCGTTGTTGTTGTTGTTGTCGTTGTTGTTGTTGTTGTGCTCTGCCAGGTTTTGGTATTAGAACAATGCCAGCTTCATAGAATGTGCTAGGAAAAAGTCTCTTCTCAATTTTTTAGAATAATTTTGGTAGGATTAGTACCAGCTCTTCTTTATATGTCTGGTAGAATTTGCCTATTTGTCTGTGAATCTGTCTAGTCCAGGGCTCTTTCTATTTGGTAGGTTTTTTTTGTTTATTTGTTTCTAATTCCATTTTGGAGCTCATTATTTGTCTGTTCCGGGTCTCAATTTCTTCCTGGTTGAATCTTGAGAGGTTGTGTGTTTCCAAGAACTTATTCGTTTCTTCTAGGTTTTCCAGTTTGTATGCTTAGACATGTTCATAATGGTCTCTGAGGTTTTGGCATCTCTGTGGGGTCAGTGGTAATGTCACCTTGTTAATTTCCTATTGTGTTTATTTTGATCTTTTCTCTTTTTTCCTTTATGCATTTAGTAAGTGGTCTATCAATCTAAATTATCTTTTCAAATAACCAACTTTTGGTTATGTTGATTTTTTGTATGGTTTTGTTATGTAAATATATATATAAATATATATGCATATATTTTGTGTGTGTGTATATATATACACATACACACATATATACACATTTTATATATATATACACATCATATATATATAATATCTTGCTGGTAACTCTAGCCAAGACCCAGTATCCTGTTATTTTTTTCATTTATTTCAATATTTGTTGTATGTCTTCGATATTCCAGGTACTATTATAGGTGTTTGTCATACAGTATTGAATAAGCAAAATGCTTGTATCTTTGGACTTAACTCTTCTTGGAGAGGGGAGAGAGAATAACAGATAGATGTTAAGTAAATATCTTTTAACTTGGGATATGATAAAGTTCAAAAATGTAAACATATGTTCAAATATTTAATAAAAATAAAAACAATGGCAGCCACCACTTATTTCATGTCTGCCTTGTATCTGAAACTTTACATATATTAGTTGGTATTTTTAAAATATTTTAAATGTATTCCTTGATTCAATAAATACTTATTAAATTCCCATTTATGTGTCAGGCACTGGGTAAATAACAGTAAAATAAAATAACCAAATAAACTGAGTTTCAGAAAGGGCAAGTAAATGGTCCAAGATCCAAATAAATAGTAAATGACGAAGCTGAGACTTGCAAACAAGTTTGCCTAACTACCAACATAAAACCAGAGTAACAAGTTATGAAGCTGTTGAAATAGTTTTGGTGGCATGGAGAAGAGTTACAGCAGAAAAGAGATCATATTCTCCTTATAGGTAAAGACAATATAATTTCCTAAAATTAGATAAGTGAAAGACAAAAGTCAAGAATAACTCCATGACTCAGAGATTTTTGGCCTAAGTAACACAAGTGAAATGAGGAGAACTTTAAGAAAAGCTGATGTGGGAAAACATTGAGAGATCTGTTTTGGACATGTTGAATTTGAGGTGCCTATTATACCTCCATGTGAAATTGTTGCGTAGACATTTGGATCTATAAGTCTAAAGTAAATGAGACCAACTTGGGCTAGAGATATATATTGGGAGTTATTATACAGGTAAATAAGGTGATGCTGATTGTGCAAGACTCAGATAACTTAGAATACCAATGTTCAAGTGGTAATGTTACCATTAGGTTATGAAAATTAAAGGGCATGACCATTATTTAGACATGCATAGAGGATAGAAAGCTATTTGCTCTTGTGATGAGAGATGGGTTATGGGAAATTTCATGGGCAGCACCAACTGTGAGATTTTGTTGCTTTTTTGTATTGTTTCGTTTATTTGTTTAGAGGCTTTTACTCTTTTTAAATCGTTGAAAAATGTTCAGATGAGATTCAATGTTGCATTCATAAAGCAGTGGCTCTTAAGCTGTAGTGTGAATATGAATTACCCATGGATCAGAGCTGGTTAGAAATTTTATTGCTAGGCCTCACTCCTAGAAATGTTTATT